TGAACTTGTATATTTATCTCTCTCCAACGCATTAATTCTATATACGTAGGTACCAACGCCTGACAAAGTTATGTCTAAATTTAATAATGGCTCTATGACAAAATATTCATGGAATGTATTCGTAGATTTTTATTTACTTCATTTCATACATTAGTATTGATGTTTTTTACTAAATACCAGGAATAAATATTTAATAAAAAACTATTTCATTTAAGCTTAACCAACTTTTAGTTGCTCGGAGCTAATTTTGGAACGCTTCACGAAATATTTTCATACAGTAAATGCAACCCTGGGTGCATCATTAACGAGCTGAAAAACCAAACAAATAAAAAAATTCCATCTGAACCAATATTCCCAAAAATTATAAAGCAAAACAAAAACCATTTTTTCCAATTTATGCACTGTTATTTTTATTATTGCAATACAATTTCGCAGCTCTTCAAACATTTTCCACATTGTGCTTTTAGGGCTAGTAGTTTCCGACCCCATTTGCTCGTTTTTTTTTTCAATTCTGAATTTAGGCTAGGCTTCATGGGAACTTACTGTGGGTGCACACAGACCACATTTTGTAAACTGAATTGTGATATTTAATTTTATTTTATAATGAAAAATGAATTTAATGTGCAATTTTTTAAGTTTACTAGATGTAAGACAACTTTTAATTTTCTTTATATATTGCATGCTTTAGTTTTAATTCTGTTTAAGTTAAGTTGTAAAGGTGAAAATAGGCCTCCTGGGCAACCGAGCACATTAAAAAAAATCGGTAACGCGCGTAAAAGCATACCTCACAAGTGGTGTGGAAAATGCAAGACCAAATATAAATGGAATAATTTTCGAAATTATGAAATGGTTATTGGTATTTTCCCATCTCAAAGGGGGTGATTAATTTGAACGTTATTTAAGCTGCCTTTTTGTCGTTTAACCAAAATCTACCCGTGTAAATTGGAATTCAACCGTAAAATGTAAGCGTTTTGGCTAGTCGATATCTTAAGTAAATTTTCCAGTCGACAGAAATCGACCCGTGAAAAGGCAACTTCAGGAATTTTTTAATTTTCTTTTTTTTTTTGCTTGAGCGTCTTTTGAAGATGTGCCAAATTATATTGTCGCCTTAAATACAAAACAACAATTTCTTTAAGCCATCTTGTGCAGCAATTTGTTGATCTTATCCTCACGGCTACCGAAATCACCAACCTCAACGTAGTGATTAGCCTTCTTGCGCCAGCCTCGGGTTGATGTGTTGAGCTTGAATAGCAACAGGAAGTTGGGGGCTTTCTTGAAGTGAAGTGAATCAACGCGCTTCGCGAAATTTGCGTTCGATCACAAAGCAGAGATTGGGACACGCTTGACCATTCCACGTTTGTACATCAATTCACAAACTGATTTAAGATTTGGATAACCCCATATAGGGGTTCGGCATACGTAGCATATTAATGGTTGCCTTGCTCAATTTGATGAACACACCGTTTTAATGTGGCGAAGACAGAACTGTAAAACTACGCACTTTTTGTGCAACTTTGTTGATACCGCGGATGCGGATCACAAAAGCCAATTTGGATTTTTCAGGCCCGTCGAATTGGCCGCATTTCTTTGCCACACAGCGTTACTCCATCTCACGGCGTCCATGACGGAGTTTTTTTGTTTGATATTTCTCAGCATGCACCAAGTTTTCACATTTACGGAGTGCAATCACAGCAGAGCGCTTTAGTTTACGTTTGATCAGGGTAGCAATTTGCTGACCTGCTCTTGCTGAACTGCAGCTTCGGCTCGGGGACAGGAGGCAGCTTCCTGGAAGGTTGTCTGCCCTTTGCTAGCGGTTTCTTACCGGCCCATGATGGCAGTCATCTTAACTTGTTACTTAGCACGTTGAAAAGGCGAAAAAAAGTTCGCCAAAGGTTTGGAGCACATCGTAAATGAGCCACTCGATTTATAACATTTCTATAAACAATTTAATTAAATACTTTTTATACATAGATATGCTGCAACCATGCACTTACTTTCCCAAATTCCATCCTGTTTATCGGCATAATTTTCCAAATATGCCAGCTACTTCATTACTAATTACTAAATTTTCCAACTGCGCCTTCTTTGTTGGCTCGACATATCCTAAAAAGACAAATTTACATTAAACAATAGAAATCGCAAAAATTAGCAAATAAAATACTTGCTTTGTTTTGTTTTGTTGTCAAATTTCTGAGAAATATGAATTCACCACGATGCGATACAGAAAGAACAAGGACCAGGGATGTAATTTTAAGTACATCTATTATTCAGCGGCAAGGCGTAGAGCGTTCGGGGCAGCAATATTAATTTGTATCAAATATAACATTAAACGGTGGTTCTAATACATTTTTTGATATTATTAACCAGAGTACATACATTATATGGTATTTCTTTCAAAATTAATGTACTATATGAACTTTTTTTTCAAATATTTCTTAAGTTTCTTTCATGAGTGCTGAAAAGCAACCATGCGTGTAAGAAATTGTGTGCTACCTAAAATTTCACCTCTGGAAACTTTATCCCCATAAAGGACTTCACCACAGTTTTTTTACTGGATATACTGAGGTTTCTAGTTTCTAAGGTTTACAGCACTGATTTACTTTATTTTGGTTTATACTTTTGTTTTAGAAATGTGTTGCTTATTTTACTGCTAAATGGCAAAAAAAGAAATCATCTTTTTCGCTTAAAAATAATTTGGCACTTTTAGTTTTCTATTTGGCACTTTTTGACACCTTTTCATCTCCAATATGGCACCTCATAGCTTAGGATAGTTGGCATCCCTGATCAACAATCATACATGAAAACATTTTTCCGATTTTTATTATTTTCTTCTTTTTTGCAATTTTTTTCGATGACTGCTACAAAACTGCATACTCAAAATTTTTCTAAGAAATGGAGTTGAAAAGTGGAAAATTTTGATGAATTCTTTTTTATATTTCTTGAATTTTCCCTGAGTTCTATACGAAATTGAAAGAAATTAATTCTGCTGGTTTTTTTTTTGCTGAATGAACTATATTTTTATAAAAAAAAATTTAAAAAATTGCTATGCAAAATATTAACAAAGAAAAACGTCAGCGTATTCATATTTTTGACGGTACAGTCAGCGTCTGCACAATTGTGAATTACAATTATTTAAGGTCTACAAGACTATTTTTCATCAATGCTATTCGTACTTGAAACTCGATTCCAAGGCATAATTGCAAGTCTAAACAAAAGGGCCAGTTTTTTCAGTGCACGGCTGTGGTTTAAACCTAGTGTAAACTCTCGAGCTGTCTGGTTGAAACTAAACCAGCCAGCGGGTTCAATTTAAATACAGTTTTCTTGATCTAAGTTTAAACTGGCACTAAAAAACTGGCCCTAAGAGTGTTTTGTACTCGTAGTTTCGTTAACTTCTTAATTTTTATTTTAATTAACAGCAAAAGTCTGTATACACCATTTCTTTTTTATATATTCACAATATTTTTCAAGCAAAATTTTTTTTTATAATTATATCGATTATGATTAAAACAAAATCATGTAAACTCAGGCTTCAGGCTTTATACAAAATTAAGAAAAATTCAACGA